TGCGGGAGCGGCCGGGGGAGCCCGATCGCACCATGGAAGCTGCGGCGGCCGGCCGGGGCGGCTTCCAGCCGCACCCGGGGCTGCAGAAGACGCTGGAGCAGTTCCACCTGAGCTCCATGAGCTCGCTGGGCGGTCCGGCAGCTTTCTCGGCGCGCTGGGCGCAGGAGGCCTACAAGAAGGAGAGCGCCAAGGAGGCGGGTGCGGCCACCGTGCCGGCGCCGGTGCCCACTGCCGCGGAGCCGCCGCCTGTGCTGCACCTGCCTGCCATCCAGCCGCCGCCGCCCGTCCTTCCCGGCCCCTTCTTCATGCCCTCGGACCGCTCCACCGAGCGCTGTGAGACCGTGCTGGAGGGGGAGACCATCTCTTGTTTCGTGGTGGGAGGCGAGAAGCGCCTGTGCCTGCCGCAGATCCTCAACTCGGTGCTGCGCGACTTCTCACTGCAGCAGATCAACTCGGTGTGCGACGAACTGCACGTCTACTGCTCGCGCTGCACGGCCGACCAGCTGGAGATCCTCAAAGTCATGGGCATCCTGCCCTTCTCCGCGCCCTCGTGCGGGCTCATCACCAAGACGGACGCCGAGCGCCTGTGCAACGCGCTGCTCTACGGCGGCGCCTACCCGCCGCCTTGCAAGAAGGAGCTGGCGGCTAGCCTGGCGCTGGGCCTGGAGCTCAGCGAGCGTAGCGTCCGCGTGTACCACGAGTGCTTCGGCAAGTGTAAGGGGCTGCTGGTGCCCGAGCTGTACAGCAGTCCTAGCGCCGCCTGCATCCAGTGCCTCGACTGCCGCCTCATGTACCCGCCGCACAAGTTCGTGGTACATTCGCACAAGGCCCTGGAGAACCGGACCTGCCACTGGGGCTTCGACTCAGCCAACTGGCGGGCCTACATCCTGCTGAGCCAGGACTACACGGGCAAGGAGGAGCAGGCCCGCCTTGGCCGCTGCCTGGACGACGTGAAGGAGAAGTTCGACTATGCCAACAAGTACAAACGGAGGGTGCCCCGGGTAAGTGTCCCCAGGTCCCGGAGGGGTTGGCCAGCCGTGCCCAAGGTGGGTGGGTGGGGTCTTCCTGGGCTGGGGACTCAGGGTTCTAAAGGTTGGACCTTAATGGTGCGGCCAGAAGGCCGTGGCTTGTTCTGAGTTCAGAAAATGTGTGGGCCTTGGTGGTCTTGCTGTGGGTAAGGCCACCTTCGTTTTGTCTGGGCGCCGCACTGCTGGAATGGAGTGAATGAAAATGCCCTCTCAGGGCAGATCGTTCCTGACCACAGAGGCTAGGCTCTGAAGGTTCGAGAGAGAGGCTACCTCAAGCTCTGGGAGGTTGGGCTGCCTGGACCTAGGCTGTGACTTTCTGGCCCAGATCTCCATAGGACCTTGGCAGAGAATGAAAAAGTTTGCCCCCTTTCTCTCTGATGGCCTGTCGCCTTCCTGTGGTTCCCAGCTGATTAGCCATGGGTGTTTACCAGCTCTCCTGTTTTGTCTTTAAATCCTGGGGCACACACAACGAAAGTGAAGCCAGCTGTCTTGGCAGAGATTTGGCACTTGGCCTGGTCAGTGGTGGCAGAGCCCTGTGTGTCGGAGTTGCTGATGGTCTGCAGTTTCCTTGGACTCACCCATTTCCCTCTGTTGCTCTTAGGCTTGGTGTGGAGGCCCAGGCTGTGTTGTATGCGAGTCAAAGAAAGCTTTGTGGGATCAGCTTGGGTACCTAAAGCATTCACTGGAGTCCACAGGAAGTTTCTTTGCATATGCATCCTGAGTGTCTGTAACTTTTAAATATCCAAGCTTATTAAATTGCACACACAGAATGCTGCATTGGCTCAGCTATTCTTGGGAGACCTAATTAATTCAGCTATTGCATCAAACTTTTTTTTTCTAAATCTGTGAATAGCTGCTGCAGCCCGGTTTTCTCTGGGCGCCCCTCCAGCAGAGTGTCAGCGTTGTTGGGGGAGGGGCTCTGGAGAAGGGTGGTCGCCTCGTTCTTTGGGGGCTGCACACTGCATATGCTGCATGTTCCCGCCAGGGCCGTGCAGGGTGGGAGAGGTGGCAGTCAGGCTGATGGCAGTACTGCCTGAGGAGACCCGCCTGCCTGCCATGGCTGCACCCGTGGTAGCTGATGTGGCCTGAGGTGGACATGTGTCTGGTGCCTTGCTGGGACCACTGTAGAGATTGGGACAGATGAGGCTGTGCCTCTGGCAAGCTTTCACGCCTGTTATCTTGGGAGCAGGCAAAGAATCTTGTCTGAGTTGGGTGTGTCTGTGTTTGTGTTTGTCTGCTCTGGGTCCTGTGTTTGTGGTTTTCTGTCTAGGCTTAGGGGACTGGTTTCTTTGTCCCAGCCACTTCTGAGTAGACTCTTGTGGTTCTGGGTAGGAGGCTCTTGGGCTCAGATGCCCATGCCAGCTCGGTGGGGATGGAAGGCAGCACAGCTCGCTGAGCAGTGGTCATGTGCTTGGGTATTTCCGCCGTGGTTTGTAGCAGCTCTTCCCTGTTGATAGCCTCGCAGGCAGTGCTCCGACACCTCATTTATTGAGTGAAGAGAAATTTCTCAAGTCCACTCAGGCAGTGGTGGCTTCAGCTTGGGTTCTGTGCTTTGGCCAGCTCCTGAGTGCTTACATGATAAGGGACTGGTGGACTGTTTCCTCTCTGTTGGGTTCTCCCAGCCCCTGGGTGACCCCAGCTCTGCCATCAGTGTTGCTACTCCCTTGACTCTGAGTCTGTAATTGAGGGTTTGGGCTGGACTGTCCTCTTGCAGGCCCCACAGGACCGCCACGTGCTTATCTGCGTGAAGCATAGGTAACACCCAGGAAGGGGGTGTCAGTCTGCGTGGTTGCAATTCTCTTGTCCTAAGAGGAGGGGCCTGGGGGCCTGCTCTTGTTCACCGGATGTTACAATTCCTTAAGTCTGTCAAAGCTTATATTACTATTTTTGATCTACTGAGGAGGAGAGGGCACAAGGAACAAAGAACTCACTGGAACTGCAGGGCGTGCAGCTCTTGACAGGCCTTTGGGTCCTTTGAACTAAGATTGAGTTAAGTGCTTTGTGGGAAGCGGTGGGTGCTTAAGCCCAAGGAGGGAGGGTGCAGAGCAGTGGTTTTCCTGAGTCCTTGATGCTCTGCTGATGTTTGTCTGCAGCCTGACGGAGGTGACCTCTGTCTAGCTGAGGTAGGGTCTGCTTGGATCAGGTGGGAGTGGCCTGGTTGCGGTAGAGTTGTGGTTTCTGTGGTCAGCTGCGTGTGTGTGTGTGTGTGTGTGTGTGTGTGTGTGTGAGGGTGGGGGTGGGGGAGTTCCAGCTTTGAGCCTGAAGACCTTGGTGCACCTGCCTCTAACCCACATTGGCATGTCAGCCTTAACAGGGTGAAGGCTGGTGGTCTTCTCCAATGCCCTCCAAATGCCATGGGAAAACGGGAAAGTTCCACTTCCTGCTGGTAAAGCTTTGATGGAAGTGCAGGCCGCCTGGATGCTCAGGGACTTGGTCATTCCAGAGGGACCCCCTGGGCGCTTTACTTGTAGATTTGTAGCGAGCCAGTTCTGCTATGGAGCCTCATGGCCTTGGTCTCACATGCCCACTCACTGACTTTGTGAGCTTGAGCCAATTGTCTAACCCCTCCGTGCCTCATTTTCCTCATGTCAGTTGTGGCTATCGCTTTGTGGAACGTGTCCTACAATAATCATTTTTCTGGGGGCAGCACAGGTGAATGGGAGCCTCTGAGCCCCCTCCATCCAGCAGCTGCCTGGACCGGTCTCTCTTCCTCTTGGCTTGTTTGACTCAGTGGATCAGTCTAAAAATGAACATGGACAGTGCCACTTTGAGCTGCCACTTTGTGTGCTCTGTGGGATGTGGCTGCTGTCCCTCAGGAAGATTTGTGATCATGAGCAGCTGCCTTACCAGGCTGGCCACAGGTGCTGTAGGCTCTGCCTCCTGTCTTCTTTCGGCCAGAGCAGGGCCCCATTTGTGGGTCTAAGATGAGGGCTCTGGCGTGGAGGAGCTTGGGTTGTCTTAGGTTGCTGCATCTCTGTAGTCTCTAGCCTGGGTTCTCAGGACTTTGTTCTATCAGCTGATACAATCACTTCAGGTAGACCGTTGGAATTCCTCACTGTGGGACATTAGGTCATATTTCTTACCTGGACACCCAGCAGGTGGTCAGCTTTAGGGAGCACTGAGCCCCGGCTATATTTGGGACATGGATACGGCTTTGGGGTGCAGAGCTGTGGTGTGCTGGGTTCAGGAGTCCTCTCAATGGGTTGCAGTTTGCTCTTTTGGTTCTCTTGGGATAGGGTCTTGCCTTCCGAGTGGCGTGCGCATTTGTGTACCGCCTTGCCCAGCTCTGTTTTTTTCTTCCATGAAGATTGCTATAGGAGAAGACAGTGCCAGTATCCTGGGGCCCTGTCCCCTGGACACCTGCAGGTCTGGCTATTCAAAAGGTCAGCTGCCCTTTGTCTACTGGCTTCTTTTTGAAGAGTGTTCCTTGAGATTATGCCCTGTGGTCGGCTTTCTTTGAGTTACTATTGATTTTTTTCCCCTCGAAGTGCTTAGGCCAAGAGTGTGGGGTGTCAGGCCCTGGTCTGGGAGTATAAAGGAGGGGGCTCTTTGCGTCTAGGATGGCTGCCCAGGTAGGGGTTCCAGTCAGAGGCTAGTGGGTCTTCCTAGAGTAGACAGGAGCATGAGGGTGGGTCCTAGGGTGCCATAGCCAGCTGTGGGTGGGCAGTTAGTGGGCAACGGTGCAGTCCCACCTCTGAAAGGGCGAGTTCTCCTGGCGAAGAGATAGCCTATTTGTCTGTCTATAATGCTACCTCTGGGAACCTCTGGGAGCCATTTGGGTCCCTCACCATCTGGAGGAAGCAGGGTCATTGAGTAGCCCTCACCTTTGTCCCTGGCTGCCCACTGGAGGCCCTGGGTCATCAAGAAGCTTCCAGGAGTAAGGTCATTGACTCTGTCAGTGTTTCTCAACCTTCGCTGCAGCTGGTTTGTGTAATGTCTGTCTGAAGTGTGTAAGGGCAGACAGGATGTAGATGGTGAGGAAGTCTGGGCCAAGTGTGAACCAAGCCCTGCCCTAGAGCCGGATGCCCCCCGCCCCCCAGGTCTGAGCTGGTGTCTCTGTAGCTCCAGGAGGGAGGCTGCGGTTGAGGGGCTTGCCTGCCCCTGCTGTCTGGCAGGAGGTGAGGTGGCCATGGCCGCGACTGGACTCTGCAGTAAGTGTCTCTTTCTAAGGATTGCGAAAGTTGAGGGAAGATTTCTTTTTTGGAAGACTTATGCAAGTTTCAATTGAAACGTTTTCTAAAAGTTTCTTTGTTTTGAATCAAAACACAGTCTAGGTTACTTCTGAGAGAGCTAGGAGAGCTGACCTGAGCAGAACCACTCCTGTCTTTTCCCTGGCTGCTGAGGCAGGGGAAAGAGCTGTGGCTTTGGGAGCTGGATACTATTTAGATGGGGGCTTGGAATCATTGGCTGGGAGGTAGGTGCCTTGCTCCTGGTGCCCTGTGTGGTCACCGTCCCCTGTAGTTGCTGACGTCACGGTGGGTCCTGTTATGCTAACTTGTCTGTACCCTCCAGCGAGGCTGCCTCCCGCCTTCTCTGTGACCCAGTAGAGTCTGCTCCCTTATCTCGATCAAGTGTTATGTACCATGATCTTGCTGCCTGTCGAGGTGCTTTGAGAGGTTATCCTGGTCACCCTCTGGAAACACCCATGTCACCAGGGCCAGAGCGCAGTAGGTGATTGCTACCTCTGCAGATGAGGCCCTGTCTCCAAGCTGCCTAGAGATCCCTGGATTCTAGACTCACAGCTGCCAGTATCTTACGTTCTCAAACAGAGACCAAGATTTGGAAGTGGAAATGATAGTAGAGTGAGGAGGCAGGAACCTGTGGCCCTCAAGGGACGTGCACACCTGCTTACAGAGTGACAGCACCAAGGGTCTTGTGAGGGGATTTGGCTATGCTTGTCTGTTGATTCTTTTGACCTGTTTGTGTGGAAGCAGATAAAAAGATCTTGGCAAGAGCCAAGAGTCACCAATGAT